ACACACACACACACACACACACACACACACACACACAGAGTCCTCTCCCTCCAGGCTCATGAAGAAGTGAGTAAATTAAGACCACACGTCATCACATCACAGGAGTGGCTGACCCCTTCCCCAGGCCATCACTTGGTGCCTGCCACTCCAAACAAGTGGATAACTGAAGGCTATTTTGTGATAGCAACTGGACAAACAAACCTGGAAACAAGTGCAGAGTTTTCCAAAGCCTGATCCACATGCCTCAGGCAGCAGCACCCCTTGGATGAAAAAAACCCCAGAAGAACCCCTTTCCAATGTAGAATACAATCAAGGCTTTGGGGAAGAGGGAAGGCCCTAGACTTCAGAGAATGTAAAGAGAAAGGACTAAAAATATAGCAGGAGGGGAAATTGGACTCTATCTACACCTTCCAGACTTTTAAAAAAATTATTTCTAAAAGAGAAATAAGCGGTCATTAAGACTTCTCTGTACAGCAAGTAAAGATGAAGGTAGAACAAAGTTGTATTTACCTGAAAGGCTCTCTTAACTGATACATGCTAAATAAATTTAAAACCACCAGACTGGGCAATAACTTGCTTCAAGATTTTCTACCATTCTATGTTGGACAATGTTGATGGTCTGAATATAGCTAGTGTCAAGAGTGACCATTTCTCCTACCCGGTGATCCGCAGTCCGTCTCATTTAATTCTGAGCTTATTAGGGTTTCAAGCTGATTACTGAGAAGGGCAACTTGAATGTTTTTCAGCATAGATTCGGGTTTGACTTCCTGCTGGCCTGAGCAGCACCTCATGGGTGATGGGAGTTGTTAAGTCCCTGCATCAGGCCCTACCACAGAAATCAATAAATGTGGAGGCTCAAATGATATCCTGTGTTCTGTCTACACTTGGACAAATGGGGCAGAGAGCACTTGGCTCCCATCACATCTGCTTTTCACAGAAAGTCCGGGAAAGAATTTTGAACATTAAATAAAGGGAACTAATTCCCGTGTCATATATTTTTGTTGTCATTTGTTTAGGACAGAATAATAAGAAAGGACAGAGGGCTGATTTCAGAAGAAAAGTTTGGATTGGCTAAAATGCAAGCAAACGAAGGAGTTAAGCCATATAGAGTCTGTGGTCAAGAAAAAATATACAGTATTTATTTATTTAGGTTGTTTTCAGTATTTATTAAGAATTTTTTAAACCCTTACTAAACTGACTTACTTATTTAAAATGATAATATATTTTTATTCCATAGCTTGGATTTTGGATACTCTATACCAAACCAATGTTTGTAGAAAAAGCCATTGATTGTTATGCAGCAAAATGTTAGCCTTGGTCACCTGAATTATAACAGAAGCACGGAATTGTTAATTTTGTCATTATAGGTTTCTACGGCACTTGCTATGTGTTAGTTCTGTAAATAAATAAAACGTGCTTAAAAATAAAAAATTTAATGATGACCCTAAACTCCTCAGGTTTCAGAAGAAGACAAAGAAGAGAGTGAGGAAGAATTGATCTTCACTGAAAGTAACAGTGAGGTATCTGAGGATGTGTACACAGAGGAAGAGGAGCAGGAGGAATCCCAGGAGGAAGACGAGGACGAAGAGGAAGAAGACAGTGAAGAAGAGGAAAGTATTGAAACACCAAAAGGTATGAATGGAACTGTAAATTATGATACTGTCAATTCTGAAGACTCTAAGCCAAAGATATTTAGGAGTCAAGTAGAAAATATAAATTTGACTAATGGCAACAGTAGCAGGAACACAGAGTCCCCAGCTCCCATTCACCCTTGTGGAAATCCTACTGTGATTGAGGATGCTTTGGAAAAAATTAAAAACAATGACCCTGACACCACAGAAGTCAATTTGAACAATATAGAGAACATCACAACACAAACTCTCACCCGCTTTGCAGAAGCTCTCAAGGACAACACGGTAGTGAAGACGTTCAGCCTGGCCAACACACATGCTGATGACAGTGTGGCCAAAGTCATTGCGGAAATGCTCAAGGTCAATGAGCACATCACCAATGTGAATGTGGAATCCAACTTTATCACCGGCAAGGGGATCCTGGCCATCATGAGAGCTCTGCAGCACAACACAGTGCTCACAGAGCTGCGCTTCCACAACCAGAGGCACATCATGGGCAGCCAGGTTGAGATGGAGATCGTCAAGCTGCTGAAGGAGAACACAACATTATTGAGGCTGGGGTACCATTTTGAGCTCCCAGGACCAAGAATGAGCATGACGAGCATCTTAACAAGAAATATGGATAAGCAGAGGCAAAAGCGGATGCAGGAGCAAAAACAGCAAGAGGGATATGATGGAGGATCCAGTCTTAGGACCAAAGTCTGGCAAAGAGGAACACCTGGCTCTTCACCTTATGCATCTCCCAGGCACTCTCCCTGGTCATCCCCCAAAGTCCCCAAGAAAGTCCAGACTGTGGTCCCACCCCCCCCTCCTCCTCCTCCCCCTCCCCCTCTTCCTCCCCAAATGGTGCCTCCTCCTCCACCACCTCCTCCTCCTCCACTGCCAGAGAAAAAGCTCATCACCCGAAATATTGCAGAAGTTATCAAACAACAGGAGAGTGCCCAGCGGGCTCTACAAAATGGACAGAAAAAGAAAAAAGGCAAAAAGGCTAAGAAACAGCCAAACAATATCTTAAAGGAAATAAAAAATTCTCTGAGGTCAGTGCAAGAGAAGAAAATGGAAGACAATTCCCGACCTTCTACTCCACAGAGGTCAGCTCATGACAACCTCATGGAAGCGATTCGGGGAAGCAGCATAAGACAGCTAAGGAGGGTAAGTAACCCCAGAACAGACATTCAGGAGCAGGTTTAAAGGATGAGTCCAGCCTTCATTGCATGATGGTACCAAAGTCTCCTGATTCTCCAAATACTCATTAATATTCCAGATGCTTTAATATGTGAGAGCAAGTGTGAAACATTAGGAGCAGGTACATGAATGAGCACATTTCCATATGAGAGGTATATGCTCAGGCCATGTCTTTGCATCTCAGTTCTGTAAGGGTCAGGACCCTTTAGGACATTTCAAATATTAAAAAACAACAACAACAACAACAAACAGTTTTTTAAATGAGAAAATCAGGGAGTATAATCTACACTTAACAATTTGTTGAAAATTTCACAAGTAGTTTACAACCCAATTTATAATATAAAATGGGAATGCCATGCAGTAATAATCTATCTTTATTTGAGGTTTTTCTCAGAAAATCCTAGAGACAGACTCTATAGATTTTTTTTTTTTTTATTTCACTGTTTGCGTTGCCTCATTGAAAGAAAATCCCCTATTTTTGTAGGTGGAGGTTCCGGAAGCTCTGCGATAAAAAAACAGACTCTAGAAGAGGACGGAACTGTCAAGTGGTGTTAAAATGACATGCATTGTGAGATGTTTCTAAAATACCTTCTTCAAATGAAATGTTCCCTGCCTTTAAAGCTAGCCTCACCTAAGAATTCTAAAGAGAATTTTAAGAAACAATCAGCATGTTTCTTCTGTAAATATGACAATAAACTTCTTTTTTATAACATGAGATTTATATGGGCAGGAAGTGGTTAAAGATCCTTATATCTGGATGTGTTGGCGGCTCTGACTTGTAATGACTTATAGAAATGTGCTGTTATTTTTGTAATCCAAATAAATTTGGATTGAAGGCTTATTTTCCTTTTTTAAACGCCAAACTAATGTTTTTCTGAGTTGATACATCTGTCAAGTATGTATGTAACATTTCTGAATATTAAAAATATTATGTTTTCACCCAAAAGTGGTTTAAATTGTTAGCACTTGCCTTTTCCTTGTTTTCTCATGGCCATGAAAATCTGACTAGATCTCTTTCTTAAGACCTGGAATCAATAATTTCCTCAAAAGTCTCTATTAGGCCGGGGATTTAGCTCAGTGGTTCCACCACCTGCCTTGCAAGCTCAAGGTCCTGAGTTTGATCCCTGGTACCAAATCAAACAAACAAACAAACAAACAAAATAAAAGTCTCTTTTAGTAGTAAAAAAAAAAAAAAAAGGGAAAAACTCCAACGTGGTGCTCATGATCCTGAATTTATTGATGTTAGAGGGAGATAGCTTCAGATACTCCTGTATTTCCACAAGTCTGATAGGTAGCCAGAAATTAGTTCATTTATTTATTACTAAAGTAAACTATTTCTGGGAGGGAAAAAGTGGAAAGTTAGGAAGTTTCTTAGCAGGGAAGAAATAAGCCTATGGGAGTGCCTGAAAAGGAAGCCCTCCAAATTCAGAGCAACCTTGGGGTTGATTTTAAAGATGCACCACTCCATCTCCTTCAGAACGCTCCCTGAACAAACCTTAGTCCAGTGGTTTTGTCTTTTTAAAAATTAATTAATTTTTGCCGTATGCAAATTGTGCTCATGCCAATAGAAATACACCTGAGGGCACAGGCTCATGAATTTGCAATCCCAACTATTATTTTGCTCCACCATTTGTCACTGAAGGAATGTCTGAATTCAAATAAGAGAAAGAAGTAACAGAGATTGCCTTTATTCCATTCTGGGGCTCCTTGCTAATTTATGAAAGTTATAAATCCTTTCTAAAATCCTTTGTATTAACTGTGATTAGCAATTTATCCTTTGTATCCTACAGTTTAGAACACTAGCCTTGGTAAGTTTTATGGGCCACTCATTCAAGAATTATTTGCTTCATAGATAGAGTTTTGGATTATCTCCAATCAAGAGGATTGTATTTCACTAGGAAATTTCGTCAGTGGTTCTTGAGTCTGTTTCTTCTGGTCTGCCTCTATTGTTTAGCCATCCTCTTACTGAATAAGAAGAAATGATGTAATCACTTAAATCATTAAAGAGGATTTCAACAGCCTGTGAGCTAAGTCAGTGCCCTAGCTCTGTGTGAAGGGAAAATTGGGTGAGTGACATTTTCTGTACTGAGTTTCCTCATGTATGTTTCATAAACTCGAAAGATGAAACCCCTATACAATAGACAAAGAAACTAAGGAACAGAAAGGTTAGAGTTATATGTGAGATTGGCAATTTCTGATGGCAAAGCCCAGGCTCTTCTGTTTCATTGCCCTTCACACCTTCCACTCAAACTTAATTAAATGTCCCCAAGGCCACCCATTCTTAGAACCACTGTAGAGGTTGCTATTTCCCTTGAATGTGACTTTACTTGTTTTACCTTTGTCCATTAGTGTTCACAACCATGTTCATTCTTATTCAGAGAAAAAAAAAGTGAAAGTTTAGATTTTTAAAGCATATGGAGTGTGTGTGTGTGTGTGTGTGTGTGTGTGTGTGTGTGTTTAGAACAGAAAGGCAAGGCTTTCCTTCCTCCTGACCCTTGTGTGTATGAGGACAGGGCTCTTCTACACAGAAGGGAAGGAATGAGAGGCAAATGGCTTCCAACTCCACCCTGTTGAGGCTGAGGAGCAAATGTTTGCTGACACTGGTCACTGGTAAGACCTCCTGAGTAAAGAAGAAATGGCCAGCCCTGGTGTTCTAGGAGCTAGCTGGGCTGGAGAGATGAGCCAGGCTTTTTCCTTGGAAGTGAGCAGCAAGAGATCTATTTTCTCCTTTGCTTTATAAAAGGCTGCCTTTATACTTTAGGAGAGTGCAGATTGCGCTTACCAGGCACTCATAAAATTTAAAGAAAGATACAGACCCTCATATTCAATCCACAAAGCAAAATATTATAATATCCATAATAAGACATGTATAATATGCTCAGACACTGAGTACATTAACCATTAAGTAAAAAGATTTCTAGAATATATTAAGCAGAATTCAGTACTGTGAATGCACAAGGTCAAAAGGTATTGGAACAACCAGTAGTCAACAGGACAGGGATCCCAGTTCATCCCTCCTGTAAACTCAGAGAATTGGCAGGAAAACTAACTAGTTCATCTTCTATAAAGAGCTTTCAACTCACTCATGGAAAGCCTGGCCAAGACCAGATGAAGCATTTAGACTGTGATTTATATGTTCATGTTGATCTCTGAAAATACACCTCATCCTGATGTGAAATGGGGCCAGAATGTGGAGTCTCACTGTGCTTCATGGCTCCGGCAGTCACAGGTATTTAATAACTCAGTGTCAGCAGGATCTTGATTTAACACCTGCCCTGAGGTCATCACTACTAGTGAGTGAAAGGAAGAGAATAACAGGCTGCAATGTGTAAAATGAGATGCTCTAAAGACTCAATATGTTCTTGAAAAGATCTCATAATTACTTCCTTCATGACAAAGCTAAAGCCATCTCTTTGTTTTGGTGAAGCTTTTAAAGTGGGTTTTATTTTCATTAATCACCAAATAGCATGATACAAAAAGCGAAGAAATGATCCAACTTACAAAATTCGGAAATAACCTATTGCCAATGATGTGCTGAACTTCCACAGATGTTTTCTGTGGAAAATATCTACCATGTTCCAGGTACTCTTCTGGACACAGGAGATAAACAGTGAACTGAGGAGATAAAACACCATCCTCATGCAGCTCTAGGGCAAGAAGGGAGCTTGCACGCTCCTTCACACACTTGGGGGTTTATTTCTCCAGTGGCTCTTAATATATGAGGCACTCTGCTCCATGCTGGTGAGACCAAATTGAATTAGAAAGTGTTCTTTACCTCAAAGCATTGGGAATCCTAAAGAAACCAACCCTTCCAAAGGAGTAAAAACTCTTCTCAGTTGATGAGCTATAGAAAAATATGTGTTGAATGCATTTTGCCTGTGAACCAGTCTTTATCATAGACCCTTGACCTAGAGCAGATATGGAGTACAAGGCAACTTATCACAGAAGGTGACATTTAATGTGGACTTTTAAGTCATAAGAATAATAAAAAAGGTCTAATGACAGGGAAGGACATTTAAGATTGAGAAAATGGAGCATTATATAAAATGACTAGAAAAATAGGATTTAATATATAGTAATTCTGTAAAAATAACAATTAATTTAAGTTAGTATTTTAGTGGGGGTTTTTTCCCAGTATTAATAACTTTAGTGGGTTAAGAATAGGACTTCTATAATTTCTATATGACTTTTTCTTTCTACAAAAATAGAACATAATTATTAAAAAGATCAGAACATACATATAAGTAAAAGAATATAAAAGTACTGTATTTCCATCCACGTGGAAGAACTACTGATAACCTTATAGTACGTATCTTTTAAAATCCTTATTAATGCATATCTGAACATACATAACTATCTTTTCTATAAAAGGGGATGATAGCCTACAATCATCATTAACCCATATTTTATTTAAGCAATTTCAACAATTGTTGAATATTTAGATTACTATGATTAGTCCTATAGTGTTGGGTATTTTGGATGTTCCAGCTCAACCAAATAATAAGGTTCCTTTGAACTTTAACTTTTCCAAAAGCCCTTAGAAATGACTGGATGAAAAAAATCACAGCCAAAAATCTGTCTCCCTGATAGAGTTGTGAGACATCATCGTGGTAAACTAAAACTGGAAATTAAGTTTCAACCAAATTGCCACGTTTACCAAGTTTCTCTCAGCCAATTATATACCTATCTGAACAAGAATCAGTAAGTGCATTTCAAAAAGTGGTTAAACTTTTCTATAGCTGGAAAAAAAAAGGCTGATGGGCTTAAAATCAGGGAACCTGTCCTGAACAAGTTGGTGTAAGCTAAGGAATGTGTACTCAACTATGAATGCCATGAGAAGCATCAATGGATTGTAACGGGGAACAGCTTGGTGTTTAAATAGGTTTTAAAAATATGCCTTGTGTAATCCAGAAAAGGATGGAGGTGGTGAGGCCCTGGCTTTGGCACAAAGACCAGCTAGGCCACCCTTGTAGATCTAAGAATGAAGCGATGTAGAGTTTAACTGAGATGCTGTGCAGGTGGGCACAGGTTGGAACCAATAGAACGAGACCAAAAAAAAATGGACGCTACAGAGTTTAGTCACTGGTTAGATGGAAGTCGCGGGGGACAACAAAAGAGGGGACTCTATATCGACATCCACATTTATGGTTGTGCCATTTAAGTACCTCAAAAATGCCACAAAATGAAATAGGCAATGCATGAGGGGCCAGTAGTGGGTGAGGAAGATGGGCTTGCTTAAAAGTACCTTGTGTCTGAGATGCGTGTCTGCTAGAATGTGTAGGTCTAGAGTCACGAAGGTGGGATTGTCCTGAAAGTAAGAATTTGAAGCTCATAGTGAGTGGCATTTAGAGACAAGGGTTTGGATGATAGAGTCACCCAGGAAGAAGGTGAAGAGCAGAGACTGAATGTGAGTAGAGAGGGTGGGAAGAATCAGAGGAAAGAAACTGATCTAAGGAAGGAATAGTCAATAGCATAGAATGACTTAGCAAGTCCTAGAGCTTGTAAATGTTCTCTGAACTGTTGACCTTAGTGAGAGTAAGGTCATAGGAGAGTGGAGATGGAAGTGAAATTGTAGGTATAAAGTGTCATGACTCACCATAATGAAGACTGTAGTGTAATCCTTTAGAAAATGAGTATGTTGCTCCAGTGAAGAGACACTGGTTCACAATGTCTCAATGAAAAAGGCCATCTTTCAGGTGTGTCCTTTTTTGTTTTTGGTACCGGGGATTGAACTCTGGACCTTGCACTTGCAAGGCAAGTGGCAGAACCACTAAGCTAAATCTCCAGCCCTGGTGTGTCCTTTTTATTTGATAGGAGAAAAATAATTTCACACAAACACACAGAGTCATGAACAATTGACTGATGTTTTGGATAATGACAGGCTACACATGACTGATCCTATAAGATTGTATCTCCTATGATGTCATAGCTACCTTCATTTTTGTAAGTACACTCTGATGTTCATACAAGAACAAAATTTCCTAGTTACTAATTTCTTAGAATGTGTCCTTGCCATGAGCTTTGCATGACTGTCTTCTTTCTTCTTCCTCCTTTTCCTCCTCCCTCCTTCCCTTCATTTTTTTCATCCATTTATCCAGTTCTCTATGGATAGATAGAATCCTGTATCCAAGATCCAGATAAAGTCATTTGGAAACCTCACTTCACCTGTGAAAGCCCATAGTCTTCTGCTAGGACAC